GCTGGCTTTGGCTCCCACTGGGTCTCCTTGCTACACATGGAAACAACCCAGGTTTCCTTCAGCACGCCAGTGCTTGGCCGTGCCAGCCAGTGAAGAGGCTGTCTGAGCGCCTTCCCCAGAAGTTTTGCAATTTAAGCCCAAAGAGAACAAAGGCAAGATGGTTTCCTTTGATATTATTTTAGCAGTGGGTTGCAAGTCAAGAGAACAAATTACGAAGTATGCTGTGTGCACTTTGATCTTATTTAACGCATTGCATGCAGCAACAGCACACTAATAATTAGGGGCCATCCCGCCTCCCCAGAGGCTTTGGTCTTCGATGACATGACTCCGTCTCTTTTCCTATTGGCTTCCCAAGCTCTCATTAGCATCCATAAAAATTGGTCAAAGCCAAAAGGGTAAAAGGTGAAACAACAACCATGGAAACCTCACTGCGTCTGAGAAAGAACAGACTTCCTCTGCAATTCGGTAGGTCCTACCCCCCATCAGTTTCTTGGCTTTTAATGTGATACAGTGTAGTATTTTGAGGATACTACTAAAAAAAAATCAGAAATACTGTCTTCAGTAATCCTATGATCTGTAATTAGGATTTCTATTTCTAGACATCTAAGAAAAGTCTATAGGAAAAAAAAGTATTTTACAAAATGAATATGTATATACCCATGGACACATGTACCTGCACAGGGATTCTTTCCTGTTAGTCTTTTTTTTTTTTTTTTTTTTTTTCTTCAGTAAGTTTTTTTTCAAATTCTAAAGCTTGAACTCAAGGACTTACAAGTCTAGCCCAGCACTTTACCATCATTCTATCCACCTAGTCCTTTTTTCTTTAATTTTTAAATTATATTAGATTGTGTGGAAATCCAGAGTTTTCCTCACTCATTACTGTTTCTGAAATTTGTTGGCAATTGGAGTGCAACAGAAGCCACATGTTTTCCATTATTCAGATTGTAACAGAGGCCTGGGATTTCTAAAAGTGAAATGTTGGGCTTTCTGAATTGATTATCTGGTTTTCTTGTCTTTATTGTTCATCTCCTCTGGAATTCTAGAAACAGTTCTTTAAGGAAATGACTTTCAGGAAAGCTCTTTGTTTCCTGACTTGTTTTTGACTTGTGGGGTTTTTGCCAGTGCTGCTTTTTTGCATTATGTTCTGGTTGTTTTCTCTTTTGTTCCTTGCTTCTGTCTGCTTTAAGTTCCCTCTGGTTCGGGGTGTGGTTTTGGTTGGACTTCGTTTCTTTCAGCTTGGAGCTTTTGTCGGGTATCTGCTGCCTCTAGCCTGGGTATTCACCCTGTGAGGACGGCACTGGGTTGACACGAGGCTCCCCGTGTGCATGACACTGCCACCTACAGATGGTGCGGTAGGGAGTTGGGTGGCTTTGTGCTAGAGAACCCCACATGAAGTTTTGGGGGCTTGGTCTTCTGAGCCAACCTGTCCAGAAGAGCCCCATGTGGAGGTTTCTATGCCTGACGCCCTCCATTCGGGAGGCACAGGCTGCAGGGAGAAAGGACCCGGGATTCTCTAACCAGTGGACCCCCTCGGTGCCTCCTTGAAGCAGGACTGTGGGGTGGGAGGCGAGGACAGCAGAAACTAGCTGGCCTGGGAAGGAAAGGCCTGGCTCTCTCCTGTTCAGACAGCTCCCAGGTTTTTGGTGCAGGGCCCTTCCTCCACACCTGAGCTGGGTGATGCCTTGGAGTGTGGTCTTCCGAGCCCTCAGAAAGCCTAGTGCACCCTCAAGGTGCAGTTTCCTCCACTGTCTTTGCCAAGGTTACTCACCATCCTGCAATTTTCTCTCCGTCTCCCCAAAAGTATTAGCACTCACATCTGCTGTCATCTTCTTTCTTACTCGCTATGCTTTTACACTTTTTCTCCTCCTCTTCTATTCCTTCTTTCTCAAGGGAAGGAAGTAACAGTAATGACAACGTCCAACTCTGTCCCTTTAACCAGAAATTCCTCATTGTCTTTAGGTTTGAAAAGTAACTGCTTAGAATGAAGTGTGCTCATTTTCCTGTAGAGTCAAAGCAAAGCAATTTTATTGCTCGTTATCTATGAAAGGGGGCGACATATTACATATTTCAATGGTTTTCTTTTCAGGTAAATACATGCTTGCAGGGAAAATGTAAATCATACAGACGAGTAAATTATGAAAACTATACCTGCCTCTTGTTCCATTCTCTGCTCACACTTAACCCACCCAAAGATAATACATATGCCAGCTTCTTAGATATATCCTCTTTCTGCATTCATTTCTGATATATCATGAGACATGCTCAATGGACCTCTCAACAGAGGCTTGGGTCTTTTTTTGTTTGTTTTTGTGGTACCAGGGATTGAAGGCTTGGGTCTTGTAACACATTCGTTTTCATATTTAACTAGTTCCTTACTGATATTCATTTCAGCTTTCTAGTTAAAGAACTGTGGCAGTAAATACCTATCAACCTTTACATCAGAGTTGCACGTATCTGTGCTTGTGCGTGCAAGGCAAGTTATAGTGCACAGAGACTGAGGCCAAGAGGGTAACCACACCCTGGAAATGTGAGTTTTCTGAGATAATTAAATGTTGGTGTAGTGCCATTAGTGTACAAACAAAAATATTTACCTCTACCAAATCAGACCTCCATGTAAAAGTGGGTGAGATGGTAGGTAGTTCTTTCCTTTAATAAACTTTTGTTCAAGAAGGACCAGGCACCGTGCGGTACTCCAAAAGACAGAAGAACTAGAGCTTAGCGTTTCTGCCCACCACTGCTCATCTGGTCAGTACAGGTGACAAGGACAGCATGGTGTGAGGTGCTCAGAAGGAACACAGAGCCAAAACACTCCGTGCAGTCTGCTCGATTGGTCACAAGGCAATGGGCGCTGACTCACTCTGACCCTGCTCCTTTGCATGGGTTCCAGTTCCATTTGGAATCCCCATCGATGCCTCCCCTCACTGCCAGTGTCTCTTTCTGCCAGAAACCTGCAACCATCTACTGTCACTCGACCTTCGAAAAGACACTCTGCCTGAGTCGGGCACCCCTTGAGACTGGATTCCAGTTGTGTGGTTGTGATTTTCCTTGGGGACGAGGTGGCACATTTTGTTAGAATAGCCTGAGACTCTGTGATTCCAGAGCAGTCATAAATAGTGACTCAGATTTCCTCAGCCACTTAAGGATCTTTTAGCTTGAAACAGTATCTTTTAAACGTCCTAGTCAGACTGATCTCAGCAGAGATGTGTTTAGTTGCCATTACCAGGCTCCTGATTAACGCTGTTCCTTTCGTTCTTCACAGTTTCTTCTTGTCTAGGACAGCCGTGGGTATCAGCCTCCTCTTATCTTTCCTAGTTATATTTCTTTAGCAACCCCACACATAGCCATCATAATAATACAGGCAAACTGAGTCTTAACTCTAATGATGTGACATCATCAAGGAGAGTTAAAGAGCCACATGTCCAAGAGAATCTCTCAGTTTTTCAACTGTTTTGGGCTCAAAAATGCTCCAGCCCCACAATCAGGTTCAGTTCTCATTTAGTAAAAACAATATATGCAGACATCACAGTCCACACTGAGGAAGAGGAGGGAGCAGGATGTGCAGATGAACTAAGCCCAGTTCCCACCTTCACAGAGACGGACATCTACGCATGTGCAGAAGGCTGGAGGTACAGAGAAAGAGGCCGTTCCTACGGGGCGGGTGGGGCCATTCTAGCTGGGCAGGATTTCTTCTAATGATGGTGCTGTAGACTTGCGTGCCCTCCGTTTCCCACCCTGAACTAAAGTGCTGAGCCTAGAGGTGACACCTGATCAGATGTACTGGCTCAGGTGAGAAAGTAGCCTTTGTTGCTATAATAACAGAGAAGAAAGAATGGAGTCCAGAAGCCAGGAAAGCCTGTACATGAACCTCAAGGCATTAAAGGAGATGTCACTACTATTTGCACAAATATAAAAATTTTTCAGAACTGATAGAGAATCTTTATTGCTATCCTTGGATATATTTTTTAAAATCTGGTTTGAAGCAACTCAACACAGTTTGCATATTTTCCTGTATTTCAGGAAATAGAAAAACTGCTTCACTGAAAAGCTTTATGGACTTGAGGGCTTTTTAAAAATGTAGATTGGGGAATAAGCATGTACATTTTGGGTTTTTTTAAATCATATGTATTCAAGCATCTGCCGCTGATATGCGTCAGAAATTTGTAGAAAGCATTTTTTTTTTTTTTTTTTTTTTGAGGAACCGGGTATTGAACTCAGGCCCTTGTGTTTGCCAAGCAAGTGCTTATTCTACTGAGCCATCTCCCCGGCCCCTGTAGAAAGCATTTAGATAAATCTTTAGAACAGCATCGCATTCACCATAAACCCTATGCACCATACATCAGCATGGACTAACCTTTTTTTTACTCTTTGTTCTTAAGACGATTCAGCACCTATCAAATTTTTGAGACAGCTCAGTGCATAGAGGAAGGCCTGTCCAGACAAAGGCCAGCGACTGCTATTGTGAGGCTGCCCATGTGACCAAGGCTGATGTGGAAGATTTTTCTTTCCTGGGGTCTAGACTGTGATGTCTCCTGGTTCCTGTGCCTTGGCAGCAAGTGAAATGCCAAATGAAGACCATCAGAGATAAGCAGCCGCTGCCAGGATCCAGGACCATCTTGCACATCTGCATGCAGGGCTCCCTGGCCACCAATTGAAATAGCCAGAGCCTTCATCCTGGGACAGCCACCCACCACGGGGGCCTGGGCCAAAGCTTCCTGGAGCTCCACTTGGAAGGCCTGTGGCAGCTGGACACGTGTCTGACGGTACAGTCAGAGCTTAGAAGTGCAAGGTGAAGGAAGGCGGGACAGTCATCCAGCAACACCAGTAGCCTCTGCCTACCCTCACCAAGTCAGGGAAGGGGGTGCCTGCCTGCAGGACCTCTGTGCAGACACTGGGCTCTGGCACACCTTGGCAGGCCTCTCTCACCCTTGGGCCTGCGCCTCTCTCCCATCAGCCGCATTCAGTGGCTCTGACTGAGATGGAGATGTGAGCCTCCGTGGATGATGACGGCCGTGTGCATGAGTGGAGGTGGCCTGGTGAACCCTCCCTATGCCAGGTGGGACCGGCGTGACAGCGTGGAAAGCAGCTGTCAGACCGAGTGCACCAAGGAAGAGGAGGAGGAGGAGGAAGAGCAGCAGCCCCGCCAGCTGACACCCTTCGAAAAGCTGACACAAGACATGTCCCAGGATGAAAAGGTGGTGAGAGAGATCACACTGGGGAAGCGGATAGGATTCTATCGAATTCGAGGGGAAATCGGAAGCGGAAACTTCTCCCAAGTCAAGCTCGGGATTCACTCCCTGACCAAAGGTAGGATCTCATTTTCCAAGAACCACTGGCTGCTGAAGCAGTGGTGCCTCACTGGGGCAGGTTAGGAGTCCCATCCCAGGAGAGGAGTAAGGTAACAGCAGCAGGACACATGCTGCCGTGGAACGGAGCTACACCCCACTCTGATTTCCCCAAACAGACCGGAGTGGTATAAGCAGTTTGCAGAAAGCAGTGGCGTTGTTGAGGGGCCGGTGAGATAGTTCAGTAGAATATGCACTTCCCTGGCAAGTGCAAAGGCCTGAGTTCAAAAAAAAAAAAAAAAAAAAAAAAAAACAGTGGCTTTGTTGGAGCAGTGAATTCTAAGGCTGAGGTGCCTACCTTCCTTTCATCTGTGTGTGCCAAGGCAGCGGCACCAGAGACCTCGTGGGCAGTCACAGTCTCTGGCCCCTGGAGTCCAGCTTGTCCTCTAGCCAGAGGCTGCTACCCTGCTACATCCGGGGAGAGGGTAGCTCCTCAGGAATCTTCCTGCTCCTTTGTGCCCTGTACTTGTTCTCGTGTTGCTGGGTTCTTCCCTCCACCTGTGCTTGGCTGCTGGATTCTGGCCTCCAGGAAGGACTGTGTCGATGCCGCAGCCCCTTTGCCGTCCAGACCCCATGTGGCTCCTTCCGCAAGAGTCCCTAACTTAGATGAAAGCTGCATCTCAGCATGGGGAGCTGCAAGACACAAGAGCCCAGACAAATCAGGGTGATCCATCCAATGCTAGCACCCGGCGCCATGCTCTCCTGGGAGTCCCTTGCTGGCACCTTTTTTCTTGAACCCAGCCTGGTACCATGTCCCTGGGCCCCCTTTTCTTACCTTAAGGCTGTCTTGTTTTCACACATACACAGCACAACCTCATCCCAAGCACAGCCAGCAGCACACAAACTCACAAGTCACCGCGTTCCAGGCGCCTCCACCTTCCACTAGAGCTTGGAAAATGGGGTCCACCTCTCTGTATCTGGACTACTTTATGTACTGATCAGAGTAAATTACGGTGCTTCTGAGTCTCAGATTCATCATTCATAGAATACAGCCAGTAAAAATCAAAAGATTTTAAGGAGTAAGTGCTTTTTTTTTTTTTAATGAGCAGAATATATTTATTGAGGGGCCGGCTGGGGAGATGGCTCAGTAGAATAAGCTCTTGCCTGGCAAGCGCAAGAGCCTGAGTTCAATCCCAGTTCCGAAAAAAAAAAAAAAAAAAAGAACATATTTACTGAGGGAAAGAAAGCTCCTGTCCGAGAGAAGGACAGAAGAGGGGCCCTAGCAGTTTGTCCCTGAGAAGCTGTCTCTTCCAGGGACTTTTGTAGTGTAAAACCTGTAAGAGTCACTTCCAAGTCCTCAGCTCAGTCCAAGAAGTCAATGTTTGTAATCCCAAAGTTACGTTATTGGAATCCCATCAAGTTAATTCCAATCTACAACTTTCAATGCAACCCATGGTGAAAATAAAGACAGTAAATTATATTTTCAATCACTGGGGAGTCAAGAGACTCTAAGTCCAGCCACGAAGATGGCTTTCCAGAACAAAGAGAGTGACCCAGGGCCTCACTGGGTTTTTATTCAGTGAGGAGTGGCTTGAGGAGGATTGACTGAGAATTGTAGGAAGAAAGGTGACCATTGTGAGCTGAGTTAGGTGGGTGGCCGACATTTACCTCCGCCATATGCAGAGAGGATATGCAGAGAGAGTAATCTGCATTATACTATTATGCCATAGAGATAGCATCCAGTGTTTTGGGTGGTCTGGTGCTTCAGCTCTGATGTAGTCTTTCAAGACCCAGGAAGTCATAGCCTTGATCTCGAGGCTCAGCCCCAGCTGTCCATGGGGAGCATTGGCTCTACCATCCTGTCCTGACCTGGCTCACATTAAAGAGCAGCAGGTGTAGGTTACCAGGGAAACATGCAGGCCACCTTCAGAGACTATCACCAGCACCTCAGCTGGGCCAATACACATTGCTTAAGGCCCATTGAAGGATAAACAAAAGTCCCAGCCAGCTCTGTACAGAACAACACAGGGAAATAGGGTCAGGCTCAGTCAAAATGGAGACAGTCACTCTTCTTTCAAGGAGTGCTGCTCAGGTGGTCCTCCACAAAACCATGCAGTGAGGCGGGTCTAAGGTGGTGGAAAACATGGGAACTGGCTTAGGTAGGCATGAAGTGGGACAAAACTATGGTCAGTCCGCCCGCATCTTGTGCAGCAATTAACCACTGGGAAGAATGTATGCAAAGTGTTGATTATTGAAACTGTCCTACCAATTTGGTTTGAAACTGTCTCGTTGCTATTTATTTCTCAATAAAATTATGGAAAAAAATTTTAAAAATTAAAAAAAAAAAACCTATGGTCAACCAATGAGATTACAAGCACTATTGCTCTGATAAAATTGATTAAATCCAGTACCAAATGAGGAAGCGAGTCACGTAGCAAGGGGGCATGAATATGCATGAATACAGGACAGGGTCTCTTCCTGTAGGGGGTTGGGTTAGGTACTCATTTGGGTTCTTTCAAGGTGACTGATACCTATTTAGAGTATCAATCCCTGATGCCCATCCCTAGGGAAGTACACAGCTCTGTTTCTTCTTTTGTCTTGAGGTGAGGCCCACGTGGGAGTGTCTAGCTCTTCCAAGTTGCAAAATCACTTTGTCTTCCATATTATGTCCTTGAGGGTTAAGGAGTAAGTGCTTGATAAATGTGGCTGTTGGTATTATTTTGCAGTTATGTAAACCTGCATTGCCTTTGTGCCAAAGTCTCCCAGACAAGACTGAGGCAGCTGTCATTCCCTGTTACCTGCAGCTGTCCTCTCTGACCATGCATCAGAGTTACCTGGAAAACTGTGCTGAGCTTTCCCCTTATGCAGGCTGGGCTGGGACCAGGCTTGGGTGTTTGTTACCTTAAACTTCCCCAGGTGATCCCAAGGGACACAGAACTAGTGACCAACTGATACTGTGCTTATATGGCGACTTGAGTCCCAAACTTTCTTGTGGCTATATAATAAGACTACCAGCACGTGAGTCCCCCTGAATTTTGGAGAACAAGGCATTTCCCTGCTGTTAGATGGCAGCCTTGCATGTGTTCTCCTTGGGCTTAACCTGTCACTGAGTAGCCCAGTTGTCAGAGGAACGGTGTCATTCCTCGTATGCACAAGCAAGACAGGAAAGTGGGTTGTGGTTTGCACAGGCCAGTATAGGAAGTCTACTTGTGCAGAATCACCATCATGATTTTAGGAAGCAGGAACAGTCCAGATGAGGCAAAGGAGGTGCTTCCCAAGAGGCAAAGTATGTTAGTGTTGGGGCAGTTCCCAGAATGATGGCAAAGTGAATAAAACAAAAGGCACCACTGCTCCAGATCTCTAGAAAGAAAGCTTCAACAGGGGCCTCTGCTGGCTGTTTATTTATTTTTTTTTCTACAGTTTTATTGATAAACATATAGCAATGAGACAGTTTCAAATCAAATCGGAAGTACAGTTTCAACAAATAATACACTGCATATATTATTCTTAGTGGTTA